CTCTCGTGGCTCTGCGGGTTTCTTTTAGCTCTTATCTGGGGTCTCACGCTCGCTGTGGCGCCGACTCGCATTAGTCTCTCTCAGGTCCGCTCTCCAGCCCCCCCCCCTCGGTTCTTACTGCGGTAACTCTCTCGCCATCTCTGGTCCGTCACTCGCGCAAGCACTGTGCCCTCCATCTCTGGTCGCTACTGTTCCCTGGCGCAAACAACCTCGCTAGCCCATCAAGCTCGGCGTGAGCGTGCTCTCAAGTCCGCGCTCTCCGTGTCCACTTCTTGTTAGCTCCCGTAGCGCTCTGGGTCAGGTCTCTTCGATCTCCGGGGCTCTCCCTTGTCTCGGTCGCACTCCGCTCTCGGGTCTCTCACTTCCGGGGTCCCTCTCCCGCGCCGTTCGCCTCTTCTGGTCTCTCTGTATCTCTCGGTAATCTGCTCTGGTATCTCTCGCTACACGCCAATGGTCCTCCTCTCTGGTCTTTCTCTCTGGTTGCGTCCCTTCTCCTCTCTCAATCTCAGTGCTCTCTCAGGTCGCTCTCCTACTGTGGCTCCTCGCTCGGTCAGCCTCTTTGTCTCGCCTGGGCTCTCTGTAGTCTCTCTGCTGGTGATCCTCTCTCTCGCTAGATCCCTCTAGGTCGCAACATCTTAATAACTTTACTTGGGACTTAAACCTGATCGTTATGGGGAGAGAGAAGGCCAGGGTACCTGAGCGGGTACAGCACAGAGACACACGTCCCACGGTCTACATAGAGTGAACACTTAGGAATTCTATTAAAGTATTGCAATCTGTGGGTTGAGGGAACTGCTTCTGGTTTCTCTGCTCGCCAAGCGCAGTGCTAGCCCCCTGCTGAGCTACTGATGCCGCCACTGCTGGCGCGAGAACTGGTTCGGAATAACACAGAATATTAAAGAGTCAGAGTGATGGACCACATGCACCTCGAGGCTGACACATGTGCCACACAAGTGATTCGCATGCAGCAAAAAGACGAAACAATAGATAACCAGTTACATTGAAATTGTCAGTCCGCAACTTGAGAATAATACGGAGTAAAGATGGGTGTGGGTATGAGGTGTGGTGTGTTGTGTGTGTGTGGGGTATGGTGGGTGTTAGGGCGTGTGTGTGTGTGTGCGGTGGTGTATTGTGACCAAAATTTGTCCTGATGTGGGTGAGATCGCGACAGTCGACATATTATGGATGTTCACCCCCCTTTTATTAGGTGGGTTTGTGTTTTATCTCACGCTCTCGTCTGTCATTTTCTTACACGATTACAATGTACTCTGCTCACGAGTCCTCCGGTTGAAAACGAATACCCAGCAGTGGGGGAAAATATGAGATATATTAGAAGAGATAAACAGAGCAAGGTCAAAACTCAGCCAAAAATCCAATAGAGCAGTTGTCCCGCCCAAAGTGGGGGTCCGCGCCCCCCTGGGCGCGGCCCCCCCGCGAGGCGAGGACTGCGCAGGCAGGGCCGCCGGAGGTCATAAAAAAAAAAAAACGCAAATCATATAATTACTTTAAATACATTTTAGTAATCGTTTGTGATGGAAAAGTGAAAAGATTGTGTGTTCATTATTTGACTTGAATAATCCACCTGTAATCATTTTTTGTATACAATGTTTTGTAGCAGAGCTATGTATTTTCCCCAAAATAAAATAACCAGGAAGTACTTAAACGCCTAGTTCTTAAGGGTCCAATGTCCTTCCTTGGTTATTATTTTGGGGGGCCACCCACGCAGACCACCCCGTCAGACCCTCTTTTTAAGGGGGCCTCGGTGGGGTTAAGTGGCGGCCCAAGACACCACAACAGGGAGTATCATTCAGTGGAGTCGGTGGAGAAGGTGAGGAGGGGGAATTGAACCCTCGAACCTTCGGGCCTCATTAAGGCCAATGCTCTCTACCAACTGAGCTTACTGAAAAAACAGGGATATAATCACAAATAGACCTTTTTTGGCAATTATGTACCGCCACCAGGTTTGTTGTAATGGTCTTGGTCCTAGGCTTAGAAGGGAACTTGGGACTAAGATGCCATGTAGAGATGGGGTGCGCTGCCCTGGCAAAGCGCCAGCTTGAATTCACACATGCGGGGGAGATGGGAACCAAAAAGAGGCAGAGAATCCGCATTTTAGGGTCTAGACTGGCTACGTTATCCAGGTGTTTTCACCGTGTCTTTCACAATCTGTGAATGAATGGGAACCATGGAACCACATTATGTAAAAGAACAACCCCGAAACAACAATCTTTAGAAAAATAAGTATGCAAAAGGTCCGGCGTCATAGCAGCATGTCAACACTGCAAACCCAGCACACATCAAAAGCAAGTTTAACACAACAGGAGGCACTTTGGTATCGTGTTGTACACAACAAGACTCACACGTGAACATACGTAACGGTCTTGCTCAACACCAACAGGTGATTGAGAACGGAGGCAGAATCTACAACACAGTCTCAGGAGGTTCTGACGCACTCTGAGACCGACTACTATGGTCACACAAGTTGTCAATTAAACGTATTGTCAGGGACAAGCTCAACATAAAAGACACAGAATCCCCACAAAACAAGCGGCCCGAATACGTCAGCAGCAGCGTGTGGAATGTTCTTTTTCTTACCGTGGATAGCAGGCGCCTGGTGAAAGCTAATAATCCATGTCCGTGGCGGTGTCCTAGGGGCAATGTCCTCAGGGCTATTTGTTGTTCAAACCTTGATCTTCCTCACTGTGTTTTATAAAACTTGATAGTATATCTTAGAGATCCGTGGTAAAGCACCTCTGGCGCAAGCACCCGTCTCGCCGCGTCACAACGCAACCGACTGTGTTGTTACATGTTCTACCAACTCGGGGCGCGAAGAAGTGCTCTTGGAGGAGATCCATGTCAGGTATCAAACTAAAGGATTGCTGGCCCGTAGTGTTCGGGGACTGACCAGTGGGCGGGGACCCACTGTTAAACACGACCTCGGGATGCGCAGTCCGTATGGGTTGGGTGTTAGATTGTAGGGACTTTCACTTATAATTGAAATCTCAACACCTAGAGGACAGTAAAAAATGTTACACATGGTAACCCTTAAACAAAAACAAAAGAGCTAATTAAGCATTCACTTGTCTCACTCTGGACCCAGAGCAGAGAAAACCAGCCGCCTTCCCTCGCACCGTCCCATGCTGCCGTGAGCATAGTGTTAGCTACTTTTATAAGAATGATCTCTTTGCTTTGGTGAGTAGTGGCAGGATGGTGTTTCAGGCTGGGCGACATGGACACATAGAACGTATTCCTCCAAGGACTATCACATAAATTCGTCCTCATCTAATTCTGACCCGACATCACCCAGACCTCTCAGATGCATCTCACCAGGCTACTTCTATTCTAGACTATCTACTCTAGACGCTCGCACTCGAGACAGAGCAGAGGAGACACAGAAGCCATTGCTCTTCTCTCCTCTACATCCCCCCTCCCACCTTCTCATTTAGCGGGACTAAAATGGGACCAAACAGAGGTAGGGTGCAGACTAAACCACACCACGCAACGTCCCTGAAAGCGTTCCTGTCCCGTCCTAAACACAGATATTCTCCCACTCTCCAACGCCACCTGAGAAACCACACAATAAATAACACGTAGATGCGGTAAACAGCAGTAACACAATAAGGGAACAGACGAACCCCTTTCTCGAGACAGCATCCGCTAAAAATGAAAGATCGTTTAATCTTCATCACGGTACATTCGGCGACAAGCGGAGCAGGCCGGCGTTGGAGACAAGTCTGCTGCTCAGGCGGCTCTCTCACGAGATGGCGTCCTCCAACAGTCATCGGTGAAGCGAGCGAAACAATAAAAAATTGCGCGGCGGTGACAAAGGGCTCCAATGTCTCTGATGGGCTCTGGTGGCATTTCACCCCACCTACTGATGGACCCCCCTGACAAGAAGACTGGCGGACGTTCTCTCAGTAGCATAGTTTGGGCGTACCCTCTACAGAGAACCGACAATATGAGATAGCGCAGGAACCACGCATCACAGATTCAGATTCAGAGCATTTATGTGGCCAAGTTACGGTAATAACCACATTGGAAAAACGTGGGCAAACGACCCCAGGTGGCCACCAGGACGACAAACACCATTATTCCAGTGCTCGTGCCACGGCGCCAATCTGGACGGCGCCATGCGACAAACAGTAGAATAAACAGCAGGAGCAGAACATCACACATATTCAAACAAACATGGATGAGACACGTAACATGTTGGAAAACATGCAGATCGTTTGGAAGGGAAGTCATCACTCTCTGGCCCCGCCTCGTCCAAATTCTAGGCGCGTCAGAGGGGAGTAGTGGGGGGGGAGGTGGAGGGGAAGACCACCGGTAACTGGAAGAGAGGGGAGGCAGACCCTTTAGTAGAGAGTCCAGTGTCAACCGGAGTAGCCGATGTGTGGTGGTGGAATGTGGAGTACAAGGATAGCGGCAGGGCCTGCAAACATTGGAGGACAAAACAACCATGCCCTTGGGGGAAATTTGGTATAAGCACTTGTAACTACAATGAAAGCAGTGGAAACTAAAGCCAAAATGTCCAAAGTAATACTGAGGAACTTGGACCCCGCCGGTTTCACTGTGACCGGAGTTCACCACGTCAGTACGAAGTTCAACCGGTGGAGGGCAATAAACAAGAATACATTACAAGTACTTAGAAAATAAAACAATGGCCACGAGCATCACAATAACGGATTCCAACTAACTTCACAGCCCCCACCATGTAGAGTATTAAGTACAACAACAAAGGCCCATCCACGACACACAGCAACAACCCAAACTATAGCTGTTCCACCCCGCGAACGCCCTGCACGACCATGGGGGCGGATCCTGACTGCAAAGGGGCCAGGATTGCGCTGGCGTGAGAGACTTCACACTGTTTAACTCGACTTCCTAGGTTTTCTCTGAACATCTTCGCGCGCTGCATGACAATTCTCATAATCCTCCTGGTTACATGCTCTTTCGTGACGTCCTTTCGCCTGGTGATTGTTCTGCCGCCGACCTGAGCCATGGTGTTTGGTCATCACTCTGTCCGTTTTGCTCTTGCGAGGCAACGAGCGTTCCTGTTCCTTGTAGATGTGGTGGTGAGAGATGAGGTGGGCACATTGAGAAACTATATTCCCTGATAATCATCGAGTTCTTTGGCATCCGGCGTTTGAGGGCCTCCATCATCTCATCCATACACGGCCACCCATCCACAAGGACTCACATAGGGCTTGCTAATAGATCTCTACTTATCTCATCCCCCACCCCCTGGCTACCCGAGTGTCACACACCAAGGGGGTTTCAAATTTGTTTATGTTATTTCCTGCCAGTCTTCACTGCCGACTTCTACCTGCGACCTCAAGCCCACTGCCAGGCAAGAATACCGGCCGGGGGTGGTTTTTTGTCCATGCCCACCACCGCCGGACGGTGGCTCCCGTCCGGTGGTAGAGCACCTCTTGTTTCATCCCCCGCCCGTCGCCCTCTGTCAACCCATAGAGTGAGGCCGCCGGGTGCCTACAGTGAGCCCTGGGTTGGGATGGGTCCCGCCCCATCCTAGCGCGTAGAGTATCTTGGCGCGGTCTTCTCCTCTCTCCTACACCTCTCAGCGTCCCGCTCGCCTGCACACGCAGCAACGCAATCAGCTAGACCCCACGCTTGGAGTTCCGTCTGGAGGTTGGCTTCACGGAGCTTCACGCCCACCCCCGCACCGCGCGGATAATTCAACCCTCAGACGCCCACACATCACGTCTCCCCGTACCCCTCCATCGGCTATCGCGGAGGAGACCCCAGTCAGCCTGGTGATAGGAGAAAGAGAGACTGTCCAAACAACGTGGCTGGACGCGCTCCTGACCGCTCCTGCCCCCTCCGACGACCGCACTTTCCGGGCACTGAACTACCCTGCCCGCCGTCAACCCCGCCAATCCCCTCTTGACTCATCGAGCGATGAGTTGAGGCTCTCCTGGGGGACACTTGCCTAGGCGAGCAGTCCTCCTAAATAAGCGGAGAGCGGGGGCGCGTAGGAGCGGGAGTCGAGGGTACTTGTAAGAGTCGCACAGGCGTGTGAAAGCGTGCAGGGAAGATCTCCCTAGAGCGGAGGTCCATAACACTTCTGGACGGGGGGTCTCTAGTATGCTTCATCTTCCTGTCACTCACATACAGGCCTCTGGGATGGTGTTGGGGGGGGAAACCACTCATTTCACCGATGCCCCCATGTCCATTTCCCTCTGGCTTGAAGGGCTGGTGCCCCGGCCCTGATACTGATCGAGTGCTGTCCCACCTGTGTCTGACTGGAGCGCTACAATCTGTATACCGTCGGTGTCTCTCTGGCTGAGGGAGCTCTATAGGCGGTAATCTCCAGTCGGACGACTCCTCTCTACGCGACTCGTATATCCATGGGCTCCTCTCCCCTCTAAAGGTACTAGCGCCTATGGGTCCATCGTTCTCGCTTGAATGGGAGAGTACACACTAAAATAATTCATGTCCTGTACGTCTCCTGCTCTATCCCATTTGGCCAGCTACTTCTCTGCAGGTCCTCTTTGTCTCCTGATTGTCAGAAGGGACGTTTATGGTGTGTTGAGACATGAGAGTACATAGTGTGGGCAGGCTGCACGTTGTGATCCAGCTCGCACGCCACAGGACAGCAACGGCTTGTGAATCTACTCCGGGCCGTGTGGTGTAACCCTTAACAGAATCGGATCCAGTAATTCTTCGAGAGATAGGTCAAAAGTTGCTGCTTTACAATACTCCCGCGTGGTCTCGTCTCACTCAAAAAGCATCCTAGTCCCGAACGGAGAACGTGCTTCGCGCGTACTATAATCCCCTACACAGGGTGGCACAAGCGCATGAGACTACCTGGATTCTCATCCCTGTGTCTGTGTAATATGACCGCGGCTCAAGTCAGCATTGCGTTGTGGCTTGGTGCTCGTATAACCATTTGCTCTCCGCGGGCATCAGCACTACCAGCACCCGGCCAGGAAGTGGCTTTACTAACGAGTGACGATTCTAAAAAAAGAGAACTGAATTGGAGTTTAATTCCAATGAGCCCTATAAAATATATCCTAATGGTTGCTTGTATTACACATTGGTAGGTAGCTTCTCCCTATAAACAATTCCCGCGGCACCCATCAAAACAACGGCCTTGAAGGGGGAGGCCACGCGGATCCCCGGAGCCCTCATCGTTCATTTGGCAGAACATGTCACAGATGTACTTGG